GAGGGACCACACCTTGTACTAGGTACTCTTCTTTTCAGTTGATTTTTTTTTTTTTTTTTTTTTTTTTTTTTGTCAGTTGAATTTGAAGGAGAGGTTTTGGGGGTGCAGGCAGAAGAAAAGATGATTCAGAAGATAGAAAAGAAGCGGTCACAAGTAGGAATGACTAGGGCGCCCACCATACACTCCCAAGAAATGGCATGTCTATTACAGGCCAACAAGAAGGAAGAAGGGGCACCACAGAACACCATGCATTCAGTACAACGCCCACGACCGCAAAAGTGGACATATAGCGTCCAGATGCGGAGGGTGCCTGCCATCAGGAACGGAGGGACAGTCCTGTACACACATGGATGCACAGACCATGTCATCGTAATAATATCATCGTAGTAATCGTGACAGAGCCCATGGCAGCTAGAGACGCATATAACAGTGTTGGTAGTTGTGCAATGGAGCAGGTTGCAGAGTGTTGTTGGTACATCATCCTGCTGCAGCACGGGGCCGGCGGAATGATCTTCCACATAAAAGAGAGATTGCCGACAGTTTGGTGTGGCAAGAACACAGCATCCGTACGTGAGAAATCAGTAAGTTAACATCAGTGACGGCATGGAGCATGATGCCTTTGTCCCACAGCTTCCAGTGTTCCGCAGCATGTACAATAGCCATTTAATGGCCAGGTTCGTTTACAACGCAGGCAGAGATGTGGGCATTGTGGGGTGGAGGATTAAACCCCTCGGCGCCTGCTTGAGCATAATTGCGTAATTTTAACCACAGTAAGTTCCATATCATCACCGTTAACAACCCAACAGGAGCAGGAGCTGTAGGGCCTGGCATGATAGTGACATGCTATAGAGTAGTTAATGTATAGACTATAGTATCCTTACCATGATCATAGAGACTATATTTAATTTATTTAATTTATCATTACAATGATCATAGTGCGGCCTTCAGAGTCTATGTGCCAACCAACACACCCCATACTATATATTAGTAACTGTTGGGCTCCATGTACAAAAAAAAAAACAAAAAAAAAACGTTATTAACGGGTACTAGGTTCATTCCATCAACACATTGTCAACCGGAATTCGAAACTGAAAATTAATCTGAAATTATGGCGGCACCCTTTTAGCACCAACCATCCTTCAGCGCCTACGGTTTTCCCCCCAACACAACGGACCCTGAGTCCCAAAAGATAGCTTGTATACATTCAGAATCAGGGTGCACCAACCATCCTTCAGCGCCTACTCGAGTCCCCGGATGGGTGGCCCCGAGTACCCATCCCATCTTTCTAGGGGGCCCAAGGGGCACAAGCTCTGCAATGAGACGTGCAAGTCCAAACCAGCAGGGTTATACACAGAATAGGAGTGGAGCTGGTAGGAGTGTATGCTTTTATCATCACTCCTATCGGTGACCATGAGGAGGTGTTTTTCTATAAAAAAAAATAATAATAAAAAAAAGGGTTATACACAGACAAGCTGAGAGAAAAGAAAGACATTCAAACTTGAAGAATGTCATAGCCCTAATAAAACATAGCGTCGTTTCCAAATAGCGAGGCCGACCGACTCTTTCACCAACGAACCAACGAGTCTAGCTCAGTTGGTATACCGATGAACTTGTGAACTCTCCATGAAACCAAAGCTTTTCCAAAGAGAAGGCTGCTGCACTGAATGTCCTCGCCCTAATAAAACATAGCCACGTCTTCTTTTCCAAATAGAAGTACAGACCCAAGACCGATGAACTCTCCGTGAAACCAATGCTTTTCCAAATACAAGGTTGCACCGAATCCGAATGTCCTAGCCCTAATAAAACATGATAGCCGCGTCTTTTCCAAATAAAAGTACACTGCCAGAGTCTAACCCAAGTTCGCATCCAGATGCATTGATGGAACTACTAGATGCATTGAATGAAACCAAAGCTTCCTCAATTATCTTCAGGGGGGTCAGCTCAATGACGATATCTCAAGACCGTTGCCATTCAACAACAACAAAAAGAAAAAAAAGAAAAAAACAAAAGAAAAAAAAAGAAGAAAAAGCAAAAAAACGAAGGCCATGCCGCATCCACGCAAGTTCATGATGCTAAAGTTAACCCCTTTTTCCCTGAGAAGGGCAACAGCCTTGAGCCTTGAGGTATAAATCATTGAACTGACAGCCCGCAAGGGCCTTAAGAGTTCATCATCAAGCTTCGAGCTGAGCCTCTGGACCTCTGGTCTGGTTATCAACCATATTAAACCACCAGAACTTGGCCCAGCTATCGGCCGCGGAAAAAAATAGAGTAGAAACGTTTCTAGTTGGATGAATTTGGGCGCTCCTGTAGTGGCCCGTACGTTTCCTAAAATCACATAGTGTTTAACGGGCACGACTTTAGGAAGTACTGGTGGTTTAATTGATGGGTGTACCATTCAGCCAATTAGGGGCTTGGTCGGCAATCTTTTACCTACAGTACTGTTCCAGGACCTCTTTAAATTTGGCGATTGGAGGGGTTAAAAAAAAAAAAGAAAAAGAAAAAAAGAAAAAGAAAGGGCACCAGTACACCACACATAGGTGTCAGTATAAAACCCGCACCATTTCCGAAGGCCACCCATTTTTGTTTTCCAACAGCGGCAACAAGGTGTGCGGCCCTCCCCTCCGAGTTTTGCTTGTGGCGGCAAAAACTTTCTACAAGGCTGGGGCCGAGTACTACCGTCCTCACCCAAATAGAATGCCCGCTCATTATAGCTGCATTTGGCCCAACTTTCAGTCCAGATGCAGCGATAATGACCGCACGTTCTATTCGGCGAAGACGGCAGCTGTTTAAACACAATTGTTGGCATACATCAGGGAGTCCGAGGACAAAAGTCCTCCAAGTGATATTAGACATAGGGCCTGGCTCCACTGCTCACAAAATGTGCAAAATGAGAATGAATCATCTGATAGAACATGGAGAATGATACACCACCACCAGGGTTGCCGGCGTTCGGGACGGGCCGAACGCCCGAACCCGAACACGCCCGAACGTACGGGACCCCTTCGGAAGGCGTTCGGCCGTTCGGGCCAAACGCGGACCAAAAAAAAAAAACAAAAAAAAAACGACAAAGTTTTCAAACAATTCCGGAAAAAACATATGTTCTGAAGAAAAATAAACTAAACAACATTTGCCTGGGGCATGGACCCACTAGCACGGTATTCTACCACGCCGTTCAGGATTTCCATCACGTGTGGCATAGAGTGACTCAGTACGGCCGTCGAATAGATCCGATCTCGACGGCCTGGTAGTTTCGGAGTGGGGACTGTAAAGATGCCCACCTCCCGTCCAATGAGATGCGTCGAAAAAGAAAAAAAAACGAAGTTGGACTAACTTGGACATCATAGCTCGTGGGTTTGTGTGGGTGGGAAGTCAGGATTTTATGGGCTTTAAAGGGGGGGGGTTGATTTCCAGACTTCGTTTTTTTTTTTTTTTGGCTCTGAGAAATAGAACTTGAAATGTGAAATTCGAATATTGTGGTGCATCTGACAGGAACGCTTCCGCGTCTGGCGGATGGCCTGTTAGAGGCATCATGAGATACATGGGGATGAATGTGTCCCTATAGCGATTACTTGTTCATCCTCGTGGCTGTTTTCGTGGACACATTTGATTGCCACGGTACATCAGTATGAAGACTTATGTGAAGGAGATGGTACCAACCCATGAATTCGGGTGCACAGATGTTCTTCATAGTTTTATTTTTATGTGTTATTTCAATTCATTTTAAATCAGAAAACGATCCATTCATGCAAATAAAAAATCACTTTGCATTTTCCAAAAAACCATAAAACTGTGTCACACGTCATAGAATACTTCGCCAGTGGGTCCAGGCCCCTGGGCACTACATCCAAATTCCTTACCACATTGGAATTAAAAATCAAATACAGAAAATAAACACTATGATAAAAATAAGAAAAAATAAAAAGAGAATTAAAATGAGTGAGTGTGTGCCAGCACCTTTTCGACACCGCCATCTTTGCCGATTTTTAATTATTTTTTAGCACTGACAAATGCCCTGAAAATTTACAGATATGTAGTTTACATAATCAATAACTAATTAATTGTTTTTTAAAAAATAATAAAATTGTTTAGGCCCCGAAATAAAGTGAAAACAAAAAGTTACAAGCGGAAAAAAAACAAAATAGTGAGTGGGCGAGCACGTTTTGACACCCCCATCTTTTACGATTTTTAATGTTTTTTTCGCTTAGCAGAATGGCTTCAAAATTTATAGGCGTGTAGGTTACATCATAGAGAACTCACAAAAAAACATTTCAGGAAAACAAACTTATTTTTAGGCCCTGAAAGAAATTTTGGCGGGGGCCGAACCTGGAGGTGTTCGGCCCCCGAACGGGACCCCGAACGGCCGAACGTTCGGGGGCCAGCCCGGGGGCCCCCGAACGTTCGGTCAGGTAACCCTGACAACCACTATATTTTGTCTTTTGTGCATGCCGTGAGCAGTGGAGCAAGGCCCATAGAGCAGGAGGAAAGCAGCGGGAAAAAAAGAAAGAACAAAAAAAAAAGAAAAAAAAGAAAGGAAAAGTGAGAAGAAAGACCGAAATTATTATAGTCCAATAAGACCAAAACAGACTCCATTGCAAGCTGTGCTTCCATCAATTTACTAAATGTTTAATGTACTGTTTGAACATTTAAGGGAGGGAAAAAAAAAACAAAAAAAAAACGCCAGGCCCTCTGGAAAACAGAACGAGACTGCTGCAAGGGCATGGCTGAGTCTTCTCTGCATTCCTTCTCTCATTGTTGCTTGTGCTCTTGCTTGCCGGTAATAAGCAACCGGACTGACACCCCCCAGAATAGAAGGGGCTTGTGTGTTTTCAAGTTTCAACAACAACAACAACAACAACAAAAAAAAAAAAAAAAAAAAAAAAAAAAAAAAAAAAAAAAAAAAAAAAAAAAAAAAAAAAAAAAAAAGAGAAGGAAAACACAATGAAAAACTAAACTCAGGAAATGAAATTCCTTCCCACGAAAACAGAATGAGACACTGAACTCAAGAAAGAAAAAGTTTATTAACATTGCACAACATCAATCCACTGTGGTGTACCAAGCACCGGCATGCCGTAACTATGCAGCTTTTTTTTACCATGCACTGCCACGCAGTAACTATGCTTTTTTTTTCCCCTAGACAAACGACACCGCCTTTCTACTCCTAGGGGCAGCAACAATCATACTGTTCACTTCTATAATTTCTAAGTCAACCTGGCGGCATTGACCAGTGTCTGATCTACTAGTTAATCTAGTGACCGGAACCAATGAGCCTAATCTCATCAAACTATAATTTAAAAGCACCCCCAAGCAGCCCAAGCTAAATGGGACTGGAGAACCAACTACGACTGGACAACCATCTGGGACTCCACTGGGACTGCACTGGGACTGCACTGGTACTCCACTCAGGCTGTGGTTCCACTGAGGTATTCATCCAACCTATTTGCTATAGTCCTAGAGTTACTGTAGCGATTCTATTCAGACTATGGTTAATTCAGCATCCTATGATCTAATATCCCCTATACTGACTTTACTCAGCAGAGAAGAAGTCTTGATCCATGAAAGATCGGAGAATAGGGAGTAACATCATGATTTCTACTCAAGCCCCTCTCTGTTCTATTCTGTTCTGTTCCTCATGTTATGTTCTGTTGTGTTCTGTTCTGTTCTATCTGTTCCTCATGTTATATGTTCTGTTGTGTTATGTTCTATGGACATCGGACAGGATGGACAGGTTACCCTACTCTACTACACACTCCTCCCATCAATTCGATTCTCACATCGACTACAATCTACGAAGAAACCGTGGAATCCGATGACAACGTCATGACAACGCTATCCAAAGGAAAGACTTAGTTTCTATTGCAAACATCAGATCAGATGATCCCTGAGAGCCTGAGGGAATCTCACTTAAAGTTGCGACCTGGGTCATATATTATCATTCGTCCGGGAATATATCACACAGTTCATCATTTCATTGATTGATGACCGTCGACCGACCGATGCATTACCAATCAACAGATTGCTCACGCCGCCTGGATAGACCTCCTCGTGTCCTCTCTACCCTGTCTGTGTGAACTGTCCATTGTAAACGGGTGACGGGGATGTACCGTAACGGTCATGTACCCCCCCCCCTAACCCCACCCCAGTGCATCGAATTCCGGGTCATGGATCACCCATCAGCGGATTTATCAGATAATATCAATGCTAGCATCAATTGATCGATAAGACCTTAGGCTAGTTTTGTGTATAAACAAGCATCGCATCCGTCATGCCGGCTGGAATGTGGATCAATCATGCTGGAAGCAACCGGGGACTCCACTGGGACTCCACTGCCGCTTGTATGCGACCACCTGCAGCGGACCAATTATGCCATCTGGACCCATCGTGTCACATCAAGGCCAGATCATGCAACCTGGACAGGTTGAGACTTGTTCGGGGTGTTGAGGCTCGCTCCATCCTCTTGCTTGATTGCAGCGATAAGAAGCTTCAAGTAATCGCCACTTATGTCGCCACTCACAGCCTCAGTGAGAGTCTCCTTGTACTTGGAATGATACTGTTTCTTGATTTCCACAAGGTCGATATCGGCACGAGCGAGGATGTGCCGCGCCAGACCATGTTCATAGGTGCCCAGTCCGGCAATGTCAGCATATATAGTGTCGGCAAACAACTGCGGTGTGGACAAGATCGCCCTCACCATTGTCATGTACAAGTCTCTCGCTTTCCTCGTGAACTCGGACGACACGGCAGACAGCACGGTGTCCTGGAACTTAGCCTCATACGCATGGAACACAGCCCTGAGAGTGGTGTAGCTCTCAGAGGAGAAGATCTCGATGAACTTTGCATCATCGCGGCCCCATCTGCCAGCACCCGCATCTGCACAGGAACAGCGGCAGCAGCACCACCACCACCACCACATGCACATCAGAAGTCGTCATACCAAGGCATCACTCAAGTTGACATGCTCATTCATTGTATGTGCCCAGAAAGCCAGCAAAACAGTTTGAAACGGAATGGCATCTATCTCTTTGCCCATTTATTCCAGACTGTGTCCAAATGATTACAAATGTAAGAAATATGTGCAACCCTTTCGAGAAATCAGTTCGCAGTACTGTCGATCCATTCGAAAGACATAAAACGATCCATTCATCCGTCAACCCACACCAGCCAAGGTGGTCCTATCATCTTCTTTTTTTTCTTCTTTTTCTTTTTTTTAACCTAACCTTAAGCTCTCTTTCTTTTCTTTTTTTTTTCTTTTCTTTTATGTTGTTGTTGGAAGAAGATCAATCTTTATTAATATCAAAGCCGGTTAGGTGGTCCTATTATTCGAGTAGGCACGGGCCATGCTAATATGCGTGTCATCCTTGCGCACGGGCCATGCTAATCTTCTCTGTATCGTTCCAATTTTAACGGATGTCCCAAAGGACTCCCCTTAGTTTTTCACCCAGGGGTCCAAACACATAGTCCAGTCATCATCGGGCTCCCAACAAATAGTCCAGTCATCAAGGCGTCCAAACACATAGTAGGGGTCCAAACACGTAGTCCAGTCATCAACGGCGCGCTAGTTGTTTCACCGACCACTGTCTTTCCTTCCGTCTTCTGATACGTCAACCCTCATGGAGCCGTATCATTGAATACTTGCATATTAATCGTTCATTTGATGGTAAACAATCTTACCCCTACAGTCTTCCCCCCAATAGAACGTACCGTCATTATAGCAGTGCCTGGACGGAAAGCTGCCCCAAATACTGTGAGGCTCATGAGCTATAATGACCAGGATTTCTACTGGGGGGACCACGCTAGCGAGAGTTCTCTTTTCCTTTTTCTGTGCGTCTGTGTATAATTGCACATGCGAGAGAAAGAGAAATCGAGAGAGAGAGAGAGAGAGAGAGGATAGGCAGGTGGAAACCTACCATACAGCTCCTGAGCGAGTTGATCAACACGATCAGGCGTGGCAAATTCGGTCTTCCTAGGCGTTGTTACAATCTTGTTGAGTAGGGTTTCAACAATTCCCCTGCAAAACAAAAGAGGTCAACAGACAAATTTTTAAAACGAAGAGTTTAAACTTTAAACAAACAACACACATTGTCAAGCGGAAAAGGAAAAGAAGAAAGACCAACGCGGTCCAACAGCTAAAGAATGAGAAAGCAGTGCAAAGCACACCTCCGCCACAGTGAGTTGCTTTTCAAACAACAGCATCATCCTCGACTCGTTCCATATTCTAGCGGAAGATTCACTCTCATTTTGCACATTTCGAGAGTAGTGGAGCGAGGCCCCATGCCAGGATTCATGAAAATCGAACAAAACCCAACATTTTGTAGAGTGAAAAAGTAAAAGTCAAACTTCTATTTTCTGATTATAAAAACAAAAAAACGTTTTCAACAACTTCTCGAGAGACGAGGCAAGAAAGCAGGCAAACAGTCAACTGAGTCAACTGATCCTCAAAATGTGGAGGAAAACCCTTTCTTACAAAGATCCTGTTCTAGGACTATTAAGTCATTCTCAATAGCGTAGCAAGAAGCAGAGCTCCAATAAAACAAACTTGGAAGTTGTAAAAAAAATCTTGCATATAGCCTGATATAGGACTACATGCCGTTTTCACCAGTGTTCTAAAAAAGCAATTTTTAAGTTAACAGTAAAATTCTTGTCAAAAAATGTATGTTACGTAAAATAATAGCACAAACAACTTTTATCTCGGAGACATCTTCAAATTCTTAGTCAAACGCAAGTTAAAAACAAAAAACCAAAACAACGATTAAAAAATAAAATAGAAAAAAGGAAGTTTGCCCACAGACCCGAGAATATGTTCTCGCAAGCGAACATATTCACAAATAAGCAAATAAGATAAATAAGATAAGTGTTCCCGTACGTTTGCAAATAAGATAACGTGTTCGCATGTTCACGAAACCCTGGAACATGTTCGTCATGCTAGACAACTTATAGGACTATACACATGATCTTTTGAGATAATAAAAAATATACGGTGCTTCGCCTAGTAATGATTTACTGTTGAAAAACCTGCTTGTTCCCTTGCCAATGATTTACTGTGGAAAAGCCTTCGTTTTCCCTTGCCGCTTCCAGTGGTTCTCAAAAAATACTTTTTTATTCTTTTGTGCGATTTCATTGGGCATGGATGGATTAAACCACCACTCCTTTCCTGTTCCCAGACCCCAAGCCTGGGCTGGTATCAAAACCAAACCTGTTTTTTGGGCGACCGTATAAAGACCGAACCTGGTTTTGGGGCAACCGTTTTCAACTTGCACCACGGCCGAACCTGCCCCAGGTCTGCAGCCGTCTGCTTCCTAACCTGGTGAAGGCCTACCACTTAAAAGTTACCCACTTGGAATTGTCTAGGAGGCGCAGCAGGACTGGTGGTTTAAAGAAAGAATGGATGGATGAATGGGGTAGCTGATGGATGGATGGATGGATGGATGGTTGGATGGATGGATGGATGGGATGGTTGGAGAGGAGGGAGGAAGGAAGAGAACTGACTTTTCGACGAAGTTTTCGTTAAATTTGAAATATTTTGCTTGGGCGCCGAAATTGAACAAGGATTTTTTTCACCTCTTTTTAAGTTTTTTTTTTTTTCAAATTTGGTGCCCATAACTTAGTATTAATGCACACACACGGCATTCTATCAAGGAATCCAAGCACATGGAAGGGTCGAAAGTGACAACAAAAAAATCCTTGTTCATTTCGCCAATCGAGCAAAATATTTCGAATTTATTATTGAACGAAAAGTCAAACGAGGGAAAAAAAAAAGCAAACAGGATGGATGGACGGATGGATATGGATGGATGGGGGGGGGCGAGGGAGGGAGGGAGGGAAGGAGAACGAGGATGCATTGTATGTAGGGAGGGAGGGATGCCATTGGACGGAACACTCACCAGGAGTCGCCCGCAATATCGTCGACAAGCTCGGTACCGTACACCTCCTTATACACCTGCGCTATGATTTTCAACTGATAGAAAGTGCGTGTAACGATGATCTCATTCAGCTCTGCATCGTCGGTACCTGCGCCAGCCATAGATTCGTAGAGATAAAAAGCATCCCGCATGGCCGCCGGCTCAAGCAGAGCATAAAAACCTTGGTAGAGGTCGGAGTTGGAACCCAGCTCGTCCGCCAGCACCTTGGTAAGAACCTTGCCCGTATTCTTGAAGTAAAGATTGTAGATCGCCGCCCGTTGACTGAAGCTTCGCTCGGTCGCGATCGTAATCAGTTTGCCCATCCCTTCCCCAAATAAATCTGCAGGGTCACATAACAGGAAACAAACAGAAAGATAGTAGAGAGTCAGGAGGAGAGGGGGAGGAATGGACTTGCGGAACCAAGGGGAGGGGGGGGGAGGGGAAGAAGACGGAACGGGACGCAGGGGGGGGGGAGGGGGAGGGGGAGGGGACGGCGGAGATTGAAACCACCACAGCCAATCATAGTAGAGGGTCGTCCTGTTAAAGGATGGATATTGCACACCCATTAATCAATCAATGAATCGATCACTCACTCACTCAATCAATCAATCAAAATCGGTCGTTCAATCAATCAATCAAAATCGGTCGTTCAATCAATCAAAATCGATATCTCAATCAATCAATCGATCACTCAATCAATCAATCAATCATCAATTAATTAATCATGGACGAGAATTCTGCAAACATAATTGCATGACCAGGATTCAGGATTGAGCTGTGTGTGCGCAGGTTTATCCCACGATAATACCTTGAATTACCGAGACGTAAAAAAAAATAATAATAAAAAATCATCCAACGATAGAGCGAGTCAGCTCAGCTTGATCTTGCATAAGACCTGTGTGGTGCTGACTTGTAAACGACTTCAGAAAAAAAGAAAAAAAAGAAGCTGTGCAGCAGAAATGGAAAATTTCTGAATTAAAAAAAAAAAAAAAAAATTCTGAATGACAGATTGTGGATAGTCGTAGCAGTCCATGCACCAAGGTACTGAACGCACCAGTGGTGTTGGCCCTGTTGGGCACGCATTTATTAGCCAAAAACTGGCAAAAAGAGAAAAGAAAAAGGCGCCCCCTCAACTGGCCTAGCTCAGTTAGTACACCATTGAACTGTCAAGTTACAGACCTGAGTCAGAACTCCAGACGAGTAAATACTACAATGCTGAATTACCTACAGTCTTGCACCGAATACAACGTACGGTCATTACTCATTATAGCTGAATTTAGACTGAAAGATACCCCAAATTCATCTATATCCGTACGTTGTGTTGTATTCGGGGGAAGACCGTAGGGCCGGTCAGTTCGATGATGATATCTACAGGCAGTGGCCCTCGCTAAAAAAAAAAAAAAAATCAGCCCCATGTCATCCTGAACTGGCAGCGCGCCCGGGCGGCCCGGTCAAGACATATAAACAAGATGCGGCATTTATTACCAAAAGAGAAAAAAAAATTGCAAAAACAACCCCCTTCCAACCTGAATTGGGAGCGCTAAATAGGAGCACGCTCTGGGCCCATTTCTCCGTGTCGGTGTTTTTAAAATCGGTCATTCGGTCTCAGGGCATATACTCACACGAGGACTTAATAATTAGTAATTACGGGCAGATACATTCTGGTCCGGCTGCAATTACGGTCGGATGCATCGACGAACGTCCGAGTGTGAGTATGCCCTTGTCGGACATATTCGGCAACTCATTAACGAAAGAAAAAAAAACGTGCATGCCAGATTTCTACCACTTTTCTCGGTCCCAAACACCTGTCTGTGCGAGGAAAGAATCCAATAAAGGCATCGCCGCACCACTCACGGACTGTGAAAATGACAACATAGTCATATGCAGAGACGCTAGAATTACTAGGAAGTATTTTAGTCATATGCAGAGACGCTAGAATTACTACAAGTATTTTAGTCATATGCAGAGACGCTAGAATTACTAGAAGTACTTTTTTGGAAAGGACGATGGACCTGGTTTCCAGCCAGTTTTCTATCTCTTCTTCTGAGGACACTGGAGCTGCTTTCCAGTCTGATACCCAAGATAGGATGCTGGACCTGTTTTTTAGCAATCCGGGTTGAATTGTGAGGTCCCCGGCCTCTGTTCTTGTCCTTTTAATACCAAGCAAAGTTATAAAAAATAAATAAAAAATGATCAAAAATAAATAAAAAATGACAACATATGGTGGGTGTATATTTCTATGTTTTTTCTTTGCGGAAGATACATGCTCCATTTTGCACATTACGCGAGCGAGGCGGCCCTTACTGTGTAGGTATCATCACCAGACAGTCATCGATTGATTGGCAGGCTGAGAGATTGATTGGCAGGCTGAGACTCAAATAGTGAATCATTACCGCGAAGTCGTCTAGGTGCATTACCAGACAGTCGTCGGAATGACCGGCATTTCAACCAATTTAGTCGAACCAAGGCTACCACCTCCCACAAAACAAATAGGACTCTGAATAGGACTGTATCGGACCAGAAAATCGTCTAGGTGCATTCACGACCAGGATGCGTTGCGTTCGGGGTGAAAAAAATTAACGGAGAGCCGAATGGAATGCGAAAAGCGTCAATTCTATTTTTAGAACGACAAACAAAAAAAAAAAGAGAGAAAAGTCACAAGAGCAGATAACAGATACAAAGCCCTTGCGCAAGGATGACACTCATAAATCGAGAAATCG